CTACCAAGGCTGGAATTTTGCAACAAAAGCTAGAAATTCTTATTTGGAAGCTAAAAAGTAATATTAAAGCTAGAGCATCTCTTATCAAAGCCGAAAATTCATCTCAAAGCTAAAAATTGAACATTAAAGATGAAAATTAACCAAACCCTAGCAACAACTTCACCAAACCCTAGCAAAACCATGAATTTACCATAAACATGCTTCCTTTAATTTCAATCATAACATATCTTGCATAAATCTCAAGAAACAAGTAAAAGAGATGTTATCTAAGAATTTTTGAAGTGGAAGATGAAGAAACTCTCTTGGTTTCTCTCTCACTAATTTCAGCCAAAGGAGACAAGAAAATGAATGAATTTTGGTCAAAAATCTGATTTTAGTAAAATTACCAATCTTGGTCAAAAGTCCAACTTCTAATAGCATAGTGACACTTGGCCCCTCTAAGGGTTTTAAGCTTATCCTTTTGTCTAACAAGGGAAATTTATCTAGTTAACTTCCAATTGTCTCCTAGCACCTTGTAAAATAATAATACTTAGCACAAAAATCACTTAATCAACAAAATTTTATCGCACTAGCGGGTCCCACGTCCATAACGCACTTCAAATTTAACCCGAACTAACTTATACTAGAAAAATGGTTGGAAAAACTATATTTACTTATAAAGTGTCCAGAAAATTAAAGTAGTAAAATAAAATAAGGAAAATGCATGAAAAGGAATAGAATTAAATGGTATAAATTAAGAAAAAATTTTACGGGCTCGCACACTCTCTCCCTGTTAAAAAAATTTCGTCCTCAAAATTTTCCTTTTAATGGGTTCCATCAAATCTAAAATAACCAATGACCTGTACCTTCTACGTCCTCAGAAGAAACGAGGGTCTCAGCTAAGATAACTCCGTCCGATCTCTCACGTCACTTACTATCCAAACTAGATGTCCATTGACCTCTTGTACTCATTCTAGCCAGACAAAGCTTGTTCATGTTCCCAAAATGCAAATCTCAAATACTTAACCCCGCCTCAACTTTGGAGTACTCGGGCACAAGAATCCGAAATAAGACAATTCACGTCTCGAGCTGGCCAGTCCCAAGAGTAAACTATCTACAATCGAAATTCCTCCCTGACGTACCTATCTATGTTCCTCAAATATCACCCGAAACATTTAAGGCCTATAACGTTCACAATTCATAGCTTATGCTCGAACAAAAACTTAATCCTTCATAACTATTCACCACTCAGTTCAGGCTCACTCCGCGCAGAGACCACGCGAAGCAGGCTCTGATACCACCTGTGACAGCCCCACCTCCCCCTAAGGCGAACCAAAGGGTTCGGCGGACCGCCAGCCCAGCTCTCGCCGGGACTACGGATCCGGAACGAGCGTAAACCCTTCCAACGGGTCAAAAGAACTTCGAGAAGATAACATTCACTGTCCGAAATCCAAACAAGCACAACAACTTTAGATAACCCTAGAAAAGAACATTTCCAAACCAAATCAACTTAGGAACATGGTTAAACACTTTTCGATACCATGGTTGCAAATTTACAATTCAAAAGGGAATTGTTTGGTTAAAATACATTTAAAGTTTTCCAACCATCGAGGAGCTATACAAAAGAATACTAAAACTAGCTCAACTCATGCTTCAAACATCATAGTCTTCAAAAGGTGATTTCCTGTAAGGAAAACAAGGATAACGAAACGGTGGCGGATTAGCTTTGAAAATTTCACAAATTTTGATCATTTTGTTAACTGCCTTCCCGTGTGAGTTTTTGCCTAAATTTTGATAGATAGGTAGCCCGCATGTGGAAGTTTTAGTGTACCAAATTTGGCATAATTTTGATATGATTTCGATGCCCAAATAATGCCCCAAACATTGCTCTTCAAATCTGGAAACCTATTGGTCAGGTTGCAAAATCAACTGACTTCAAACTGTTAGATCTTGTTGCCCAAAACTCCAAATTTAGTTCTGCTTATTGTGTTTGAAACTCGATTTGGAACTCTTATTGTGTTATAAATTTCATAGGCTGATTCATTTTCTGTAAATTTTGCCGAATTTCCAAACATTGTTGAAAACCAAGACTGGTTCTGTCATATCTTCTTGAAGCTGCAACTTTGAACTGAAATTTGAATACTTTCTAGTTGGAATCTTGGAAAAGTGTCTTCTGGAAAACTTTAGTACTTTGGATCTAATTTCCAACGGTATAAATTTTTCCATTTTTGGACATACCAAACTCAAGATCTAATTTTCCAAGTTTTGTCGCGTAAAGCGGAAAAGTTTCGATTTCGTAGGAAATGAGCTTTTAAGAACTTTTCACTTTCTTTCAATATTGATAGTCCGTTTTAAACCTGATTTTGTGGAGGATACAAGTTTTTCCTTGTGACATTAAATCCTCACTTTTAAATCTTGATTTTCGTGGGATTAAAGCTTTTCTAAGACATTGTCTCAAATGTTTAACGAGTGTGCTTCTTCCTTGGTTGATCACTAATTCTTCAGGTGCTCAAGAGGATCTTGAAGAGAATCTTAGAACGGTCAACTAAAGATCTTATCTGCACGTACTCACTTATTTTGAATTGGTGAGTGTCAAGTCAATGAATTATTGCTATATACTTGAATTGTTCCTTATTGATTGAGTATTTTGAAATTTGTCGAGACGAGGGTGTACTTTATCGTACTCGTTCTCTTTTAAATGAATTTATGATTGAATTGTGTGAAGTAAAAATTATATTTGTGTTGCATCGATGTCGATTGGAGTGAATCTCATCGACTTATAATTATATTTGTGTCGAATCGATATCGATTGGAGTGAATCTCATGGACTTATACTTATAATTGTGGGGGACACCCAAACTCATAGGCTAACCTTGTGACTCGAGCCGGCATGGGCTTGGTCGAGAAGTTTGGTGAACCATGGGATAGATTTTAAAGCATGATCTATTTGAAAGATCTTGCTCGGCATACTCGAGTAGTATTGCCTTTTCTAATCGACGTTTGGGCCCGGTTCGGGGGTGTAACGGTGGATGGAAACTTGACGTTAAGTGGAGTTCTACGAACTAAATACCTACCCGGTTGACGGAGTGTCATCACGTAGAGGTATTGGATCGAGTCTCGACAAAGCAAGTGGAATCTTGCTCCTGAGAGCTCCCGTATCCTTATTGATTGTGTTTTATTATTTATTGTGCATTACATGAACTTTATAGCTTTAATTCTTGTACAAGTGTTATTGTTACTTGAACTATGTGTTTGCATGTTTTTCTTAGCATCACTGAGCGTTAGCTCATCCCATTAGTTTGTTTTCCTTAACAGGAGCTTGGAATGGAAAGATTTTGGAGAAGTCGACTTGATTACTCGTTTAATTAGAATTTTTGGATGTAATTGTTTAGTCAAATTCTAGTGGTTGTATTTTTTGAAAAAGTTGATGTACTTTTGATAACTTATGATGTAAGATTTGAATGTTCCATTAAGGAAGCTTTACTTCGACTTTCATTATTGGTTGTTTATCCTTAAGTTTGAATTGGATTCGTATCAAGTCCTGGCGAGAGTTAGGCACGCGTTCCGCGGATACCCTTGGGTTCGTCCTAGGGAGAAGTGGGGACGTCACAGTTGGTATTAGAGCTTAGGTTTCAGATCTTGTAGTGTATCCTAGGCTTGAAGTCTAGGATGCCGGACTGTAGGATTGGTTTGAAAATTAAGTGACCACTTGTAGGAATGAAAATTAGAGCCTAGGTTTGAACTAGTGGACAATTAAGAGTCTTGATCTTGTGGGAGATATGTGAAATAATACGAAATAATCGGACCTAATTTATTTAGTATTGTGAGAACCCGTGGATTTTCTTATTTTCTAGACTTTATTTTATTTAATTGCATGCTTTTTCTATATTTTCTTTATTAGGAAAATTTTCTAGATAATTTTTATGAGTAAATATAGTTCTAAAATTATTTTCCTAGTATTAGTTAGTTTTTGAGAAATTAAGAGCGTATACCGGATGTGGGACCCACTAGTGCGGTAAGTTCGATAAAATTCGACCAATTAGGTTAAGTTGTGTATACCGAGTTTAATTTATTAGGTGTTAAGAGATAATTAGAAGTTACCCAGATGGATTATCATTGGAGAGACAAAAGGATAGAGTTGCATTAAATAAGGGTGACAAGTGTCACCTTGTGATTAATTCTTGACTTTGACATCTTACTTACCTTTACTAATTAACCAAAAATTGACCAAAAAATCATCTTATTTCTCCCTCTCTTGGCCGACTTTCTTGGAGGAAAAAGAAGAGAAAACTTCCAACTTCTTTCTTCAATTTCTTGCCTTGATCTCACGAACCAACCGTTAAAACTTTGATTTGCTCCATAAAAACCTTTCCCTTGGTAGGATTAAGGTGAGTGGTGAAGTGGTTTGAGGAGCAAAGGTGCTAAGTTGCTTCCTTTCTTGAGTTTACAAGGTGAGTGGTTAAGGAATCTTTCCTTTGATCTTGATAATGTTCAATTAGTGATTGATAGTAGTTGAATAAGTGATTTTGTGGAAGAATTCTTGACTTTTGCTAGAGATTGGTGAATTTTATATTTATTCTTGATTTTTTCTGTTTTTATATGTTTAGTATGGTGTGGCTATGGACGATGGTTAGAAATGGTCTAGAATGAAGGCATAATGCGTAAATTGTAGCGAATTGTGGAAAATTTTCACTTTGTGCGGAAAATTCCAGATTAGGGTTTTCATTTTTCCCCATTCTGTCCGGCACTGTTTCTCCTAATTAGAGGGTGAATTTGTGACGCCCCCACTTCTCCCTAAGGCGAACCAAAGGGTATCCGCGGGACGCCTGCCCAGCTCTCGCCAGGACTCACTACAATCCATCATTCAAGAGCTCGAAATACTATAAGTAACTTCAATACATAATTAAAGTACTTCAAATATCTCACACTTACAATTATGTAGCTTTCAAGCTTAAATACAACCCAACGGAAAAGGGTACAATAGCCATCCGTTATAATATAACTTAAAGTTTTCAAAAGAAAACAATCTAGTACTACTCACGAGCACCCTTGGTCTCGAACCCTGTAAAAGAAATCCACAACGTGGTATGAGCTACACAGCCCAGTGAGGTTCCAAGACACTCTAACAGTTCAAATAAATCAAGTAAGTTGGGCATATCATATGCATGGTTCAGGGTTACACAATGGCATGTTATCATGAGGTGATAATCATTGTACGGGTAATTTGAGACATTTATCATGGTATGAGACATTAGCATGTATAGTTCACGAGTGATTGGAGATTATTACAGGCATAGCTCAGGATTTCATGTTGGCATTTTAGCACGAAACAATCATCATGATACATGGTAAACATATACTGTAGGATACGGTGTTCCAGTGGAACTCTGTCGGTCATCTGCACCTTATGACTTCCGGATCCCCTCGGTTTGACTGGCCATCACCTTATCCCTCCAGTGGTAATACTCGAGTATACCGAAACGGTTGTCCAGGGCTCCAACCTACCCGACCGATCCCAGTCCTGGCTCGAGTAGGTCAGTAACCGAGGCAGGGCCCAAGTTCAGCTTATAGCTTACAACATGCACATGTAACCAAGTAATTCGACAAAAATAAAATTCATCATTTGAATAGGTCGAGTGAGGTAAAGTACACACTCGCCTAACAATGATGGACAACTTCATATAACATGTGATTCATGATAATCAAGTAAGCAAGTAACCACATAGATTAGAAAACGGTAAGTAAACACGGTTAACAGTAAACGGTAAACGGTTAACGGTGGTAATTACGGTTAATTGGTAGACATATGTCATTTTAATAGGCCGCCATTGGCCGTTTTCCACTTTTACCACGTAAGAGTCGGGGAGATTCACTCCAACCGACTTATGCTGCCATAGCATAATTAATCATGTAAACACATCATGTATATATATGCTCTCCAAGCATTTCATATCTAGCATTTCAAGTAATCACATAAATATGCTCTTTAAGCATTTCATATCGAATAGTTCAAATATACATACTTCAGGTATTTCATGTCGAGCAATTCAAGTATACCTCATTCGAATATGCATGAGTGTGGTAAATTCTTATCATATAGCACTTAACACTTAATGACCATGGGTTAAGCATGTCATAGACTTATTCCAATTACGTATTCCTATATGGAACACTCACCTATTGCAACAAGAGAGTAAATACTCAAACAAGTGTCTAGGCGTCCACTTCGAGTTCTTCTTGAAGGTCCCCTTGAGCGCCTGAGCAAATAACCATTAACTATTATACACTATCACTTAGAACTCCTACTTATCAAGAAGGTTGTACAATCTAAAGGGAATTCATGAATTGGGCCTTAATTATTAATAATCGAGGCTCAAGAGTAAAGTTTTAAAGTCTAAAGAGAGAGACTAACATTTTTCATGAAATCGAGTTCAAAATGTTCAATCGGTATCGAGAAAAAAGGCAAGTTTCCAAAATCTCATTTTCTAAGAAATTGCCAAATTTCAGCTTTGGGTGTCAATTCTAGAAAAATCGTATCTTGCACTATGTAGGTCCAAAATTGGAAAGCTTGATACCGTTGGAAACTTCTTCAAAAGCGGTAAAAGTTCCTAGAAGATACTTTTCCATGATTCCAAACAGAAGGTATTCAAAAATTGACTCGAAGTTGCTGCTTGGGACCATTTAGACAGTTTCGGGGTTGGTTTTTGACCATCTTTGAAAATCCGGCAAAATTCACACAATACGAACTAACCTCCAAAATTTAGAACTCAATTAGAGCTACAATCAAAGTTTAAAATGAAACAAACGGTACAAGAATTGAAGTTTTGAGCGCCAAGATATAGCAGCTCAAAGTTGGCTAAAAATTCCTCCTCGATCAAGAATTTCCAGATTTAAACATGAACTTTGGGACGTTGGTTGAACACTGAAACGGACTTGGAATGGCACCAAATTTAGCAGTATTACACTACCATATAGGGGTTATTCCTCTGCAAATTTTCAAGCAAAATCTAGCACGAAAAGTCAATTAACAAAACTGTTGAAGTTTTCAAGAATTTCCAAGGCAATCTGCCTCGTACCTTTGTTTTCCTTTTCTCAAACATTTGGCCACTAAAAACCTCTCAAATATGGTTCATTTGCGTAGATAATGTCTAAGAAACATCCAAGCTGTATTTCGTAGGTGATTTATACCAAGAATTTCGAATGACAAGTCCCAAGTCAAGATTGGCTAATCGGCTAAGAGAAAAGGAAAAGTTTTCCAGATTCGAAGAGCAATTTCGGGGCATCATTTGCATATCAAAATGGTCTTAGAATATCACCAAATTTTGCACAATTAAACCTCCATATGAGGACCACTCCTCTATCAAATTTCATTTGAAAATTCACATGAGAAGGTAGTTAACTAAACCATCAAAGTTCAAGAAATTTCCCCCAAGGTAAAACTGTCTTCTAGCTCTTCTTTCCTTTTTAAACATTTTATCCAAAGCAACCAACCCAAATTTGGTTTATTTGCGAAGTCCAAGGAACATCTGATATAAAGTTTGGCAGATGTTGGACATCAAAGTTTCCAAAACAACAAGTCCCAAATCAAGCTAGGCCATTTAACTAGTCAAAAGAGGATTTTTACTCACTGCATCAGTTTCAAAATATGGCCACAACTCACTCAATTCAACTTGGAATTGAGCGTGGTTGATGGCGTTGGAAATCGCTCTCATAAAGCTGAATTTTATCAGAAGAAACTATTTTGAAATTCTATCCATAAACAGCTCGTTTTTGAGCATCAAGATACAAGTCCTGTCCTGTCTCCTGGAGAGAAACGAAACAGGACAGTGATTTTCAATCGAATGGTGTGGCTCACTCAAGTGGAACCAGAACATGAAATTGATACCAATGGAAATCTGGGAATGTCTAGTTTCCAATACCACAAACGGCACTTGATTTCGACATCGGAGCAAAGAGTTATAGCCGATACAAAATGACTGCTTGGGCAATACGGGATTCATTTTCCAGTTTTGCTAACTTTGGAAATCAACTCATTTGACCAACCAAATCATGTTATTTTTCAATGAAATTTTGTACACACTCACAATAACATGTAAACAACATAATCAAGTCATTAGAACTTCAAAATTGTGCACAAAAATGGTCGGACAAGACAGGGGTAAATCGGTCACTTTTGCTCCAAGCACCTCCTATGATTTTCTACCAACAATACAACATTAATCCACTAATTTAAGTACTAAACCACCATTAAATCCATCATCAAGCATGAGATCAGTCCTCAAGACAAATGTGGGAGTTCATAGAGCCCACCCATTTCATTTTACACCATAAACAAGCTACCCAAATGCAAATACTACCTTATACATGCAAGATGATCTTCATAAAGCAAGATTTAAGTGTTGGATTAACACCTACTTGATTAGAGGATGAAGGCAGAAATTTCGGCCCCTTAGATGCTCAAGAAAACCATGGATAGCAGCTCCTTTTCTTAGCTCAATGGGATCTCTAAATGTTTAGTTAAGTGTAGTTCGAATTTGGAGTGAATTGGAAGAGGTTTGATGAAGATTTGATGAAGGAAAAATGAAGAACTTGGTCTTGTTTTTCCTTGGAGTTGCACGGCTGGAATGAAGAAGGAAAAGAAGAGTTGCACGGCTGTTTGAGGTGATAAAGTGGTGGGTTTTGATCTGGTGTGATGCACCCATGTGAAACTAAAATGTGTGGCTCTCATTGATTCAAAGGTTAACTCTTTTTCCCGCGCGTTTCGTGTTCGATTCCTCTCGAATTTGTTTCACTGGTGCACTAAACCTCTAATGCACTTATATTCGTATAAATATTATTCACTCTCAATCGTCCCAAAATAAGGGTCTAAAGTTCCTAAATTAAAATCACGCGTGTGAAAACGCGTATCTCCAATCTGAGCGCGATAACGCGAAACTTCCAAGAAATTCTTATAACGATAGTACTAATAACTATCACTTGACTATTTAAACATTAAAATGCCTAATTTAGGTCCATTGTACATGTCTCCAATATTTCAAACCTACTGTACTCTCAATCGATCAAGATTTCCAAAGACGTGTTCACTATTTTCACTAAACGAGCTTCAGGAAATTAATTCGTGAAATGAGTTACTTTAAAAATATAACGAAGTTATATTACCATGTATTTAGGTCTAATAAGACTAGAAAATATTCCTCGAGGCAAATATCCAATTAAATAATTTATTATGCCACAAATTAGGCTTAAAAATAATAGTTTTTTTTTTACGAGTCCTCACAGAATTGGCCTTAGTGTAAAACATGAAAGTTGTAGAGAATTATGTTTTATAGTTTTTTACAAAATTTCAGCCCAATCGGAGAAACGTAGCCGATGAAAAGACTGAAATACCCCTGCTGCCCTGTTTCTGTCCGAAACTGATAAACAGCTTCTGTAATTGGTTAGTTTGTCCGGGAATACTACTGATTTGGTTGTTGATGTCTTCTTAATAATTATAACCTTGTATCTTAGCTTTCAAATGGCATGGAATTACCTGAATCGGAGTTGTGTGTGCTGAGATATGATTGAATGAATCAGGACTGCTAGTTGAATTTCACAGTGAGCGTCGAACTGGAAAATCTGGGGCTGTTTTGGTAACTTTGACCTAGTTAGGTGGTGAACTGTGTGAGGCCCCAGTCCGTTCGTAAGTCGATATTAGGGTTATTTGATATTCGGTATGGAAAATAGGGTTTTATGGCTAGGAAGGAAACCCTAATTCGGTTGAGCTTGAAAATCCTAGTTTATGTATTATGATTATAAGGTTCAAGCTATAATTTATATTCGGTATTCTAGTGTGTGCCTTGACATAGGTAAATATAGGATTTGTTTTAATTACAAAGGTTTAGTAAGTTTGAATGATTAGCAAACCTCTAGTGTTACTATATTAGAAAGCTTAAGTGGAGTTTTATTTATCGCCCGCCTTTTCTACATTTTCTTCATTAGAAAAATTTCCAGGATAATTTTTATGAGTAAATATAGTTTTTAGATGATTTTTCTAGTATCGGTTAGATTTTGAGAAAATAAGAACGTATATCGGACGTGGGACCCACTAGTGCGGAAAGTTCGGAAAAATTCGGCCAATTAGGTTAAATTCCGGATACTGTGTGAAATTTATCGGGTGTTAAGAGATAAGTAGAGAGTGAAATTTGATTGATGTGAGAGGAAAAGAAAGGGATAGGAATGCATTTAAGAGGTGACAAGTGTCACTCTCTTATTGGTTATACTTTATGATTTACTATTCATGTTTTTGACTTTTGACCAAAATGGTTAAATATCTTAAAAATTGCACAAAAATTACCATTTCTTACCTCCTCCATAGCCGGCCCTCTCTCTTGCCAAGAAGGAAGAAAACTTCTTCAAACTTCAAGCTTTCAACTAGCTCAAATCATCCAAACCAATTGCCTAAACTAGTTTCTACTCCATACAACCTTTCCATTTGGTGTTAGTGGTGAGTTTGGTGAAGTTTTTGGAAGAGCTAAGGTGGTCTACAACTCCTCTTCTCTTGTATACTAGGTAAGTGATGATTGAACATACTCCTACACCTAATGATGCTTAAGTTATGCTTAGTAGTGGCTAAAGTGATGATATTTGTGATTTATTTCTTGATTTGAAGTGATTTGGTGAAGTTTTTATATTTTTGAGGAATTTTCTGGTTTAATATGAGAATGTAATTATAACTCTTTTGGGATTGTATATAGAAATCTTTTGGATTTTCTGGCTTTTATTGTTTTAAGTTTTGAGTCCTGGCGCGAGCTAGGCAGGCGGCCCGCCGATACCCTTGGGTTCGCCCTTGGGAGAAGTGCGGTCGTCACAAACTGGACTGAGTAGTATTCATCAAAGTTATAGCCCTCTGTCTTAGTTTCGAAACGGTATAACTTGAACTTCAATCCAATAAGCGTAGTTTTGGTTATGTCCGATACGCTAAGTAGCGGTGAATCTGCCTTTTTGGTTCCTTAGCTTAAAGCTTATTTCCGGTCATTTTCCTAGCTAAATCTTGTACTTGGATGACTTTGAGCCTATTGAACGGCTGTGGTGATGAATTTATATTGTGTATGACTTTGGGATTGATTGAGGAAAATAATGAAGCCATAAGTGGCTGAAAAATAGGTAAATACAAAGGGCGTGCTGCCCAAATTTACACTCGAGAATTAGGTAACGATTTGAGAGAAAATACCATATGAACCATCTAGGATATTTGCGTCCTCTTTTATCGAGGTATATAAGGTCGAATCTGGCCGAAACTTGTACACTTGGAAAAATAAAATTTACGACTAATAGAAATACATTTTCTTCATTTCTTCGACCCAAATGGATATTTCAAAGTTTTACGAGCGAGCATGAGTTTTCCAAATATTTTACTCATGTCCTTTGGTTTAAATGTACTCTTTTCACTTCCAAAATCATATGCCCAAAATACTAGTAGTATTTGAATTGTCTTCGATTCACCAAACTTTTGCTGGAGGAACTGTAATATTTTCTCTTGATTAACCTTAAGGTCCATCGGTGATTGAAAGTGTTACCCAGAAAGATATTCTGGACGTTATTTCGCCTTAATAGGTGAGTGTACCACTCCCCTAGATTGTTGTTTAATTGGTTTCTCTATACTTGAAATTTGTGACATGGGTAACTGTGAACTCTGTTATTTTGAATGAGACGAGGGTGTACTTTACCACACTCGTTCTCTTGCGTATACTGTATAAACTGAAAGCTATTACTTGTACCTGTTATGAACTTGAATCTGTTACTTGCACTTGTTATGATGTCATTTGGAAGTGAGTCCAGCGACTTTCTGGTTAAACCTGAGCTCAACCTCATGGGGAGTTAATTAAATCGAGCCATGCAAGGGCTTGGTCGAGGAAATTGACAATCCATGGGTACCTGTTCTTATGGAATCTTTGAGTATTGAGACTCTTAATTCCGGTATACTCGAGTATTACCATTCTTGTTCCTGTTTGGCGTTCGGGCCCGGTAAGGGGTATGTTTGGTGAACCGGATTTTGGCGTTAAAGTGGCGTTCTACGGGACTGGTTCCTTCATTTGAACGTTGACGGAGGGTCAACGAGGCTGGATCAAGTATTGCAACGGGGATTTGGCTCTTGAGAGCCACCTGTATCCTTTACATTGTGGTGTTCTTTCATCTCTTGTATTTGATGTGAATATGTGCCTTAAAAGTGATTTTCATGAGTTCTCCTGTTCCTACCGTTTATACTTTTGGTACCTCATTGAGCTTTTAGCTCACCCCGTCCCGTTATCCTTGTTTTCCTTACAGGGAACCATCTTTTGGACCAATGATCATTTTAAAGAATGAATTGAACTTGTATAAACACCTTTTGTATAGCTCCGTGGAAGTTGGAAACCCTAAATGTATCTTAATACAATATTTCCTTTTGGTTTGAAACTTACTACTATTTATATTTTGAAGTGTTTTCTCATGTTTATGTGACATATATTTGGCATGTACATTCTCTCATGTTAAACAAAGTGTACTGGTACTGGGATGGCTTGTGACGTAGCAGCGGCTCTTCCATTTAGTTTTGATTTTCGTGGGAACGCTGTACCAAAGATTGATTGTATCTTTTACTTTGGCTCATTTGGTTATGAATGTTACCTGTTTGGAAGTTCTTTTGAGCGTTTGGAAGGGTTTATGTCTGTTCTGGATCCGTAGTCCCGGCGAGAGTTGGGCAGGCGGTCCGCCAAACCCTTTGGTTCGCCTTAGGGTGAGGTGGGGCTGTCACATGTGGTATCAGAGCCGCTTCGCGTGGTCTCTGCGCGGAGTGAGCTTGGGGCCAAGTGGTGTTGTGGTCTCGCTCATGTGAATGAGTGTAAGGGACTAAGTACTCTTTTGAGCATAAACTAGGAATCACGGTGTCTTATAGGGTTCAAAACATTATTCTGGTACTTGGAGACTATAGATACGTATATCAGGTAGGAATTACAAATGTAGATGATTTACTCTTGGAACTGGCCAGCTCGAGTGGTGAATTATCTTATTTTGGATTCTTGTGCCTGAATACGAAAAGGGATGAAAGCCTAGGTTATAAATGGCTTGGGCGAATTAGAAAGCGAATTAGAAATCTGATTCTACGGAACCTGATATGATGTGTTAGGGTGTCATTAAGGATGATTGACCCTGCCTAGGGATGATTGTGGACGGAGCCTAGAGAGAAAAGCTATTGGTTGGTCGCTTGTGCACCATTGGCCTAGTTAGTATATAGTTCCTTTAATGACTTTCATGCGATTCCTTCTGCTTGTATCTGACTGACTGTTACTGTATGATTTATCTGCTAAAGATATGCTATATGTATATTGTCTGCTTTTATCACTTGTACTTGCATACTTTGTTTTAATATGGTATTCGCGCTTCAACTCTAGACTGGTTAAGTCAAATGGAGGGTACTCGTAGTGGACGGGGCCGGGGGCGTGGAACCTTAAATGAAGGAGAAAATCGGGAACCAACACCTGGACCTAATCCTGAACCTGGAATGGATCGTAGCATTCAGGTGGCTGCTGCTATCCAACGTATGACTGACCTTTTGGCTCATGTAATAGAACATCAGGGCCAAAATCTTAATCATCAGTCGGGAAACCCTGGTAATCACATAGAGGGTGAGGAT